CCCTAATGGGCAAAAATCATCCCTTTTGAGAACAATTGCTCTGTACCAGTGAATCTTAGACTTGAGTGTAAGTCAGAATAATGGGGAGACTTGTACATGCATAGATGGCCTGATCTTCTCCCTAGAGTTCCTGATTTAGCAGGTCTGGGATAAGGCTTGGGAATTTACAAGTTCCTAGGAGGTGCTGAAGTTGCTGGTCTGGGGCCTGCACTGTGAGAACTGCTGATCTGTACTACTTTCCTTAGCAGATAAACCTGTGGTTCCTACCAAATAAATGTAACAATAGCATTGAACATGGAAGGGTTGTGAACTATAGGCCACCAAGGTAAATCTTGACAGTGGAGTTCAGGAATTTAGAAATCATGCTATTACATGAAATTGGAAGGCAGCTCCAAAAACTATGGTTTAGGCATTAGATGAAGATTTGGTTTACATTTGCTCTAAATGCAATGATTTTTCTCAAATAACAGAGATGACCAAGATGAAAAGAAACAATCTCGAAAGAAATAATAAAGATTATAGCGATGAAACTTATTAGTCTATAATGTACACGCCCACCCATCTTTATTTGATAGGTTTCCAATTGCTCTTCTCAAACTTTCTGAGGTGAATTTTATATATAAATTTCCAGAGGCTATGTTAAGAAAAAAGCTATTATACACAACTCTTCTCACTTAGTGCCACATAATTTTTAATACCTTACCTAAATAATTTGTGTTGGAGCAGCACAAAACTGGGGGGCATTAATGCTGTACACATTTCTGCAGATGGGAAAAAGACTAATAAAATAAATCATTATGGCCTGAAATTTAATAGATGTCTTGTATTTAATCTTCTAGGTTTCCTAGACATGACAGAAATCTGCAGAGACATTTTTAGATCATCACTTTTCAGCACTAATCAGTGCCTGCCCCGCATGTCTGGTGCCAACGTTTAATTGTAGCCAAGAGAATCTGAGAAATGAAAGAATCTCTCCCCACACCAGCAAGCTACAAACAAAATCAATAGCCCTGTGCTGGCAACATTATTTTATTGTTGTCTCCTTAATCTCCTCTACTCTTCTGCAATTAGTTTTATTACTACTGCTCATTTAATGAGACCATGGAGTTTGGTGCCAGATGGTGCCATTAGTTAAATCTGGAAGACTCTAATGGAATTGAGTTCAAAGCAGGTTAAAAGTAATAGAATTACAAATTTTAATGGTCATCACTTCATAGCACACTGCTCTGTGTACCTGTTACATACCAGAAATTAGTGCTGGTTTCAAACAGAAAGACTTGGATTAAAGTTCGGAGAGACCAAGTGTGCTCATTCACTCACTCATTCATTCAGCAAATATTTAATCCTATTCTTATCTGGGTGCTTCAGGATACCATAAATAAGACAATCATGGTTTCTGCATCATGGAGCTTAGAGTCTACTAGAGGAGAAAGACAACATCAAGCAAACCAGCAAGATCATTATGCATTTGCGGTAAGTGCTAGGAACAAGGGAAGCACGGAACTGGCATGGAGGAGTAGAAGGTAGACTGGTTTAGGTCAGGGGTTGATCAAGGGAAGCTCTCTGAGGAGGTGCTCTTTAAGCTGAGACTTGAGTGGTAGAGAGAAGCTGATTTGGGGGCATGTAAGAGGAATGTCATTATTGTCTGATGTAGTGAATAGCATGTGGAAAGGCCTTGGGATGGAAGTCATTTGGTGTCCCCAAGGAACAAAAGGACACCTAGTGGGGAAGGGAGGATGGCTCGAGATAAGGCTGGAGAGTGGCCAGAACCTGTTGGATCCAGAGTTGTGCGTGAGTGAGATGAATGAGCATTTAGAACCTGAGATTATCCAGGGATTTTAAACATGCCTTTGTGCCAAAGTGCTGATGAGTAAGACTTGTAGCAAGAACGTCTTTTGGGTCAGGGCAGTAAATACTCATGAGAGCATCATGACCTGGTCAGTATGTAAACTAATCAGAAGCATACTTTTGTCCCTTGGTGAAGAGGGCAGGCAAAACTGAGGCAATACTTTGATTCATAAAGTTGCTTTATATAACGGTAGCAGTAATTTAAACTTTGCATCCCTGCCTTCCTACAGGGCACATCTATTGTGTTTAGGTCTCCTCATCCTCCTGGTTGGTAACAGTGCCTGGCCTGCCTTGAAAGAACATCCCTGCTCCCCACCACATCTCTTGGCAAATGATTCTGTCTCATTCCCACTGTTCCCTTTTCTGGTCTTTTGTCCTAGGCTGAGGCTCCTTCTCTCCTGTTGAATGAGTTTGCATCCATCAAGGCCAAGGTCAAAGAGACAAATGATCTCCTGGGCACGGAGCTTGAGAAAAGAACACAAACTGCCAATGTTTCCATCATCTCCAAGAAGTCTTTCTTCAGCTTCTCTCTGAGTTCCTCAGGGATTTGTACTTCCTGTGATGGCACCCACATTTGCACTTTTATGAAGGATATGCTGGATTATTAGTTCATTTCAGATATTCTCTGGACCTGTTGCCTTACACATAGCAGATACTAAAAGTATCTATTGAATTGAATTCTTACTAGTGGTTACCTTTTGTTGAGCAATTAATTGCCAAGTACTCTTCTGAGAGGTTGTTATTTAATCTGTTTATGATGATTAATTTAATGTGTCAACTTGGCTAGGCCACGGTACTCAGACATTTCGTCAAACACTATTTTAGACGTTTCTGGGAAGGTATTTTTAAAAATGAGATTAACATTTAAATTGATAGACTTCATGTAAAGTAGGTTACCCTTCCTTATGTGGGTGGGCCTCATCCAATCAAAGGCCTGAATAGAAAAAGACTGATGTCCCCTGAGCAGGAAGACATTCTGCCAGTCAATTGCCATTGGCTGAAACAGCAACTCTTCACTGGGGCTCCAGCCTCCCAGCCTACACCACACACTTTGGGCTTGCCAGCTTCCACAATCGTGTGGGCAAACTCCTTAAAATCTCTCTTTCTTGTAAATTTGTTTAAGTTCTTTGTAGATTCTAGGTATTAGCCCTTTGTCAGATGGATAGATTGCAAAACTTTTCTCCCATTCTGTAGGTTGCTTGTTCTCTCTGATGACAGTTTCTTTTGCTGTGCAGAAGTTCTTTAGTTTAATTAGAACCCATTTGTCTATTTTGGCTTTTGTTGCCATTGTTTTTGTTGTTTTAGTCACGAAGTCTTTGCCCATGCCTATGTACTGAATGGTATTGCCTAGGTTTTCTTCTAGGGTTTTTATGGTTTTAGGTTTTACATTTAAGTCTTTAAACCATCTTGAGTTAATTTTTGTATAAGGTATAAGGAAGGGATCTAGTTTCAGCTTTCTGCATATGGCTAGCCACAAGAAAAAACCAACCCCATCAAAAAGTGGGCAAAGGATATGAACAGACACTTCTCAAAAGAAGACATTATGCAGCCAACACACATACGAAAAAATGCTCATCATGACTGGTCATTAGATAAATGCAAATCAAAACCACAATGAGATACCATCTCATGCCAGTTAGAATGGCGATCCTTAAAAAGTCAGGAAACAACAGATGCTGGAGAGGATGTGGAGAAATAGAAAAGCTTTTATACTGTTGATGGGAGTGTAAATTAGTTCAACCACTGTGGAAGACAGTGTGGCGATTCCTCAAGGATCTAGAACTACAAATACCATTTGACCCAGCCATCCCATTACTGGGTATATACCCAAAGGATTATAAATCATTTTACTATAAAGACACATGCACACGTATGTTTATTGCAGCACTGTTCACAATAGCAAAGACTTGAAACCAACCCAAATGCCCATCAATGATAGATTGGATAAAGAAAATGTGGTACATATATACACCATGGAATACTATGCAGCCATAAAAAAGGATGAGTTCCTATCCTTTGTAGGGACATGGATGAAGCTGGAAACCATCATTCTCAGCAAACTAACACAAGAAAAGAAAACCAAACACCGTATGTTCTCACTCGTAAGTGGGAGTTGAACAATGAGCACAAATGGACACAGGGAGGGGAACATCACCCACTGGGGCCTGTTGGGGGGTGGGGTTTGGGGGAGGGATAGCATTAGGAGAAATACCTAATGTAGATGATGGGTTAATGGGTGCAGCAAACAACCATGGCACATGTATACCTATGTAACAAACCTGAAGGTTCTGCACATGTCCCCAGAACTTAAAGTATATATATTAAAAAATCTCTCTTTCTCTCTCCTTGTATATTTTGGTTCTCCTTTCTGGAGAACCCTGACTAATAACACACCTGACATCTAACCATTTACGCCCATTTTATAGATGAGAAAATTGAGGTTCAGAGGTGTTGAGTGCCATGCCCAAGGGTATACACTCGGTACATGGTCGAGCCAAGATCTCAGTTCAGGTCTTTCTGAGCCAAAACACAGCTTCTTATGCATGAAATCCACAAATAAGAACATAATGACCTACATACAACACAAACTGTACTTCTAATAAAGTAGCTCTCCTTTTTAATCATTCAAAAACTACCTTGGGATCTTACAGTGCATGGAAATCATCAATATGTAAATACCTTGTTATCCAGGTGATGTGCAAAAGTGTCCAGCAGCACAGAAGGTTGGTTAATAGGATGGTGTGTCCCAGTTTTTTACCGCACTTGTACTTGCTCTGAATTTTTAGGAATCGTATATAAAATTATCATCTCCAAAGTTATAATTTCCAAGAAGATCTTATACACACGCCATTTTCATAAGCAGTCAACTGCAAGATCTTTAGAACCATGAGGGGATCTCAATACACAACAATTTAAGATTAACCATTTTGTTGAATGTAAGATTATATCCCCTCCCCCAAAAGAATGAAATTAAAATAGAGCAAAATAAACAGCACACGTGGAATCCTGAGCCTCTTGATGCCTTTTGCCTTGGGCTAAAGTTCCCTGGTGAGTTGCAAACTTCAAAAGTGTCCTCAAACTGGAACATTTCCATAGGAAAAGTCAGCAGAAAATATTGACCCCAGGATCAATTGCTTCTGTTTAAGTTACAGATTGCTGCAGTCAAAATCAGCAGCCAGTGTTTGATAAAGACAGCTCCTCTTAGAAAGAACTATCATCTCCAAACACGTAGAGAGACACTCTCTCTTTCTATTACAATCATTATTTCTAGAATGGAGAAGATGATGATGATGATGAAGATATTGATTATGTTTGCTCTTGGAACGAACTACTGGTCTTGCTCAGGTAAGGTATTCACCAACCTGGCCACCTGCTCTGGATGATGCAGAGCCACGCTGGTGCCTGTGTCTTGTCTCACTGTGCCCCATGTGCTTGCATGTCCAGGTTTCCCAGTGTACGACTACGATCCATCCTCCTTGAGGGACGCCCTCAGTGCCTCTGTGGCAAAAGTGAATTCCCAGTCACTGAGTTCGTATCTGTTTCGGGCATTCAGAAGCTCATTAAAAAGAGTAAGTGCACAATGAAGTCCTCTCTACTCCTCCTTCCAATGCTGTCTGCCTTTTGTCAGTTCATTGGATATACTTTTAAGAAATTTTCTCCAGTTTAAAAATGATAGTAGCTAGTCATGTCTTTCATACTGTCTCTTTTCTTTGACAGAGAAAGGATTTAATTACAATTTTTGTGATGAGGCTCTCCGAGCCACTTTTGATGACTGATTCTTTTGCTATATTCTCCTCTCTAACCTTGTCTTCTGGTTTCCTGCATCTTGCTTTTGTACTTGAAGTCCTCGTGGTTCTTTCTGAGGTGTTTTATTAAGAACTTCTCATTTATTGGAAATGAGCCTCCTTTCAAATTCAGCAGCTCTGCTCCTAATACTTACTGGAAATAATCTGGCTTTTGAGCCAAAGAAATCCACCTTTCCTTGTCAATTTGGTAATAGTCTGTTTCCTCTTAGCCTTGGGAGCTAGAGAGAGAGTAATCACTTGGGCTTCCAGTGACTAAGTCTGTGATATGCAAGGAAAGAAATGTAAAAATATCCTTCAAAGGAAATGAGAAACATGAGCAGCAAGTCATCTCCTGTCTTCCTGTTCCCCAGGTAATTTCACGGCCTTATTATCATCTTCATGGGGCTCATTTGGAGGTAGGAATGAATGTATTTTCAAGCAAATTTAGGTTAAGGTGGGAGGTAGAGAGGTTCTATAAAGTTGCACGTCTTAGGGATGAAGGCTCTGTGCAGCCAGGCAGCATGGGAATGAGAATGAAGACAGGGCCGAAGGTCCAGGCAGCAGAGACCAGATGGGTGTTGATTTCTCTCTGTCTGCCTGCTGACTTCCCCCATCCCTCCCGGACTGACTCTTAGCTTGTTCCCTCTGCTACTCTGTAGAGCACATGGCTCATGGTTTCCTAGTTCTAGTTTCCAAATACAACATATTCAGCTTGATCTTCTTCAGAGCCTGGCTCCCAGATTCTCTTTTCCAAATTTCAAGGAAATGAATCAAATGGACCCAGTTTTCTTTTTTAGTTTGGTTATAGTTCATGAAGACTATGGGCTGTGTTTTTTTTAGGTGCCATTCCAGAATCATGGCCAGAGTGGGGGTCACTTGCAATATCCAGAGATGTTGTGTGAAGGCACTGGTCAGCTGCCACACCAAAGGTTGAGCTGCTCCTGGATCAGAATACAGAACCCTCTTCCTTGCTTATATTGTCTTTCAAATGCCAGTTTCCATGGGCACTTAATGAAATCCACTTGTGGTGATGTGGAATCGGGATCTTGTTGCCAACCTTACAGATGAACAGTTTAAATTTACTTTTGATTTAGCTATTGCTCACTACAGAAGAAAGTTAGCAGTGTATTAGATGAATAAGAGCATGAAGACAGGTCGCAAGAGAACCAATTACTGAATAAGAGCATGAAGACAGATTGCAAGAGAACCAATTACTGACACCATGGAAATCTGGCCTGTGGGGATGAGCTATTGTGAGGTACAACCACCAGAGCGTGTTCTGGCTCATGCACCATCTTGGTATGGTCACCCAGACTTGAGCCCAGACACACATGCACCTAAAAATAGACACACTTATATGTGATGTGTGTGACTCTTGATGAGCACGTGAAAAATGTTGCCTCTCCACCTCAAGTACACTGCTCCTTTACCTGGAGGTCTGCCTATTCTTGCCTCTCCCTACCCTTTTCTGATTATTCAAATTCATTGATCAAGCTACAGTCACCATGCCCTCTTGTTGAGAACTCTATTTCTTCCCCTACTGGAAGGGAGATTCTCTTCCTTTCATCTTTCCTGGTGATATTTTTCCTATTGGGAGTGTTTCATATTTTCATTTATGTTGTGTGTATTAACCACGTCTTTTATAAACACCCTATAGATGGCTCCAAATATACCAATTCTCTCTACCCTAGTAGACACGAGAGATACACTAAGAGGCAAAGCCCTCAGGAAAGAGTTGAGTGAATAGATCACTAGCACTAGGGTTACAAACAATTCACAAAAGAGGAAATACAAAAGACTAAGAAAGATTTGGAAAAGTATTCAACCTCTCTAATAGAAGAAAGGTGCAGAATTAAAATCGCAATGTGAAAAAGAAGAATAACAAGGTAAAAGAATACCAGGGTGAAAAACAAATCACAACTACTGCTTAAGAGTTTGTAATTTTGTAAAATTGTATTTGAAAAGCAAGTTGGAAATATGTGTTAAACGTACTTACTAGCATGTTAAACGTTAAAACTAGTAAATATTTAAAACTTTCGGCCGGGCGCGGTGGCTCAAGCCTGTAATCCCAGCACTTTGGGAGGCCGAGACGGGCGGATCACGAGGTCAGGAGATCGAGACCATCCTGGCTAACACGGTGAAACCCCGTCTCTACTAAAAATACAAAAAACTAGCCGGGCGAGGTGGCGGGCGCCTGTAGTCCCAGCCTCCGGGAGGCTGAGGCCGGAGAATGGCGTGAACCCAGGAGGCGGAGCTTGCAGTGAGCTGAGATCCGGCCACGGCACTCCAACCTGGGCGGCAGAGCGAGACTCCGCCTCAAAAAAAAAAAAAAAAAAAACTTTCAATTGCATAGTTTCACTTCTAAGAATATGTTCAAAGCAAGTAAGTGGTTTAGTCATGAATATTTGGGGGTACAGTTCAATGGTTGTAGGAAGAAGGGTTGGGCCCTTCTGCTTTGCCCCCAGGTTTGCTTACCAAGCCCACTGATTCTCTACTCAGACTACACATCATCATCGCGTGGGATGATGTTTAAATATTTAAATATTTCTGATGTCCAGGAGGGATGGTTGACTCCTTAAACCCCAGTCTCTGAGGGCAGGGCTCATATTCTTCAATGTTCTCCTGCTCATTCTAATGTGTGGTCTGAGTGAAGAACAACTGGGTATTAACAACAAACCTGGATCAGATATTCTTGTAATTGATTTCAAGTTACTCACCTCCTGGACTCCAAATCTGAAAAACGATGAGAAAAGATAAAACCACATGACTTTAGCATTGATGGTTTTCTTGCTCCAATCTTGACAACAGGCTCACTTGGACTGTTCCCTCAGTGGACACAAGCAGAGAAAGGAAAGGTGGTGGGCACTGGCCCTGTGCTGGGCAGGGGGAAGCAAAGAGGACAAGTCAGGCTGTGGTTTCATAGGGAGCAGCTTCTACCGGGGAAGGAGAGGGAAGGGAGATGGGGAGGGAGAGGAAGGGGAAGAAAGGGGAAGAGGAAGAGGACACAGTTAAATAAACCAAATTCATTTCCAATAGTGGAGAGTACCGTAGAGGAGGGTAAGCAGGTTAACATGACAGGCCCGGTCTGGGGCAGCAGTCAGATGGGGCAAAAGTGTCCTCTGAGGCTGCGTATTTGAGCTAAGACTCACTCCAGTGACAGGAAGTTCCCACCATGGAAAGACCTTTTGAGGAAATATTGGGGTGAGCTGGCAGAGTCAGTGGGAGGGCCCTGAAGGACAAAAGGCCTTGAGAGGGAGGCTGGCTAGAGCCAAGTGAGCCTGGAAGAGAAAGGTGGGAGTGGAGAGAGGTCAGAGAGGTGGGCATGAGTGGGACATGCCTACGTCATGATTTTGAGGAGATTGGGGTCTGTTTTAAGGGCAATGGGTAACCCCTGGGGACATCTGCATTTGCAAACAATCTCTGCTTAGCTTGGGCCACAGTAACAAAGTACCATGAACACATAACAAACCGTGGACTAGGTGATGCATAAACAGCACCAACTTATTTCTCAGAGTTCAGAAGGCTGAGATCCGGGATAAGGGTGCCAGCACGGTCCGATTCTGGTGAGGGCCCTCTTCTGGGCTGCAGACTGCTGATTTCCTGTTGTATCCTCACATTGCAGAAAGAGAGCTAGCTAACTCTCCAACCTCTTCTTATAAGGATGCTAATCCCACTTACAAGAGCTCTATCTTGAAGACCTAATAACCTCCCAAAGGCCCAACCTCCAAATACCACATCAGGGATTAGAGTTTCAATATATGGATTGGGGCAGGGGACAAACAGTCCATTACAATCTCTCTAGCTGCCTGTGGAGTGGGGGGTGGGGGAGAAACTGAGCATGGTGAGATGCTGGTGTGGGGTCTCAAGTCAGGGGAGGGAGGATGGGGGGAGCAGATAAATTTGTGGTACGTTTGGAGGCAAAGCCATGGAGGTTTGGGATCCTTGAGGTCTCCATGCCCTTCTTTGTGTGTCCATTTTACGTTTCAACCTCTTTGCATTTTTTGGTTTTTGACTTTCTAAATTATTCTCAGCTAGTCATTTCTGATCTTTACTTTTTGTGCATTAATAAAGGATTCATTTGAAAAACCTAAGTGACCAGTGATGCCCTATTAGTGAGGGTTCTCCAGAGAAACAGAACCAATATGACATGTATACATATATAAATGCCTGCATATGAATGTATGGCGGGGGGTGGGGGAGAGAGAGACAGAGAGAGAGAGAGAGAGAGAGAGAGAGAGATTTATTATAAGGAATTGCCTCATACAATTTCAAAGGCTGGCAAGTCCAAAAGGAAAAAACAAAATCTCATGAGGTAGGCCAGCAGGCTGGAGATTCAGGGACAACTTATAGTTTGAATCCAAAGGCAGTCTGCTGGCAGAGCTCCTTTCTGATGGGAAGATTTCTGACCTTATTCTATTAAGGCCTTCAACTGATTGGATAAGGCCCACCCACATAATGGAGGATCATCTGCTTTACTCAAAGCCCACTGACGTAAATATTAATCCCATTCAAAGAATAGCTTCACAGAAACATTCAGAATAATATTGACCAAATATCTGGGCACCATGGTTCAGTCAAGTTGACACTATAAAATTAACTGTTACAATTGTCAAACGGAATTGCTGTGGGTCTTTTTTTTTTTTTTTTTTTTTTTTTTTTTTTTTTTTTTTTTTGAGACGGAGTCTCGCTCTGTCACCCAGGCTGGAGTGCAGTGGCCGGATCTCAGCTCACTGCAAGCTCCGCCTCCCGGGTTCACGCCATTCTCCTGCCTCAGCCTCCCGAGTAGCTGGGACTACAGGCGCCTGCCACCTCGCCCGGCTAAGTTTTTTTTGTATTTTTAGTAGAGACGGGGTTTCACTATGTTAGCCAGGATGGTCTCGATCTCCTGACCTCGTGATCCGCCCGTCTCGGCCTCCCAAAGTGCTGGGATTACAGGCTTGAGCCACCGCGCCCGGCCTTTTATTTTTATATATTTGTATTTCTTTTAAAAATAAAAACCAAAATGTAATTATTACAAAAAGTCAGAAAATACAAGAAAGGGAAAATGAAAAATAACATTCATTATCCATTTCTGTGAGAAACACTCACTATAAACCCATGAGAGGATATCCTTTTGAGGTTTTTAAATTCATATGAAGGTATAAAATGCATTTTTAAAGAAAAATAAGACCGTATTGTAATACTGATTGTAAATTACCACAGTTTATTTCAGCAGTAATGCTGGGTTTTTAATTTTCTCCAGTTGATTTCTTATTGTTGAGCATTTAGGCTGTCCCACATTTTTTGAATTACACAGAATACAAATTTACTGGCAGAAAGTGAGTTCAAAGGAAACAGCAAAAATGTTAGGTGTTTCTCCTTATTCTTGAAAGACCCCTTCAAGATGCAAAAGAGGTTGCAAAATTATCTCACAGCTCAATAAAACGATCTGTACCCCCCAAAAACCCGCATTTTCATCTTTTCAGCTTTCGTGTTGCCAGTTTGCTTCCATCGAATTGCTTTCCGGTGAATTGCTGAAGCATGCTCTGCAGTGGAGGGCCCCAAACAATGGACTTCAGTTGATGGGAGAGGTTTTTATTTTTTAATTTTTTAATGAGACTCAGATTTAACATTCAAAATATTAAAATTATAAATATATGAGGCAGTAATTCACAGTGAGGTTGAGTTTTTATTTCTACTTGTTTTCAGAAAATTCTGCTTTTATCAGCACTCATTATGTGTCCTATGTTAGGAGACATAAAGATCCCCATCTTAAGCTTGGAGTTTTGCCACTTTTTATCCAAAACAAAATGTTCTACATGTGCCTATTATTCCCTAATTGTAAGCGGTTCTCGCTCTCACAGAAAGAGCGCTGCCTCCATCTCTCTCCTTCCTGGGTAGTATGTTCAATGTGTTGCTGACTTCAATTTGCTGCAAGATAGGTTCAGAAACTAAGAGGGAAGAAGTGACTTGGATCCTGGGGGTGTTGTCAGGTACTGGCCCATGGTGGGCTCCCCACTGACTTCCTGCTGCCCCCTTGTTCCTGTCCCAAACTGTTTACCTTGCAGCAGGCACAGTGATTCAGATGCAGCTTTTAAAACCCTGTGATAGCATCTCGCTGCAGTGACAATGAAATCTAAACACCTTCCCGTGAGCTCCAAGACCATACCTTGTCTGACACGCTCCATCTCTCCAAAGTTGTAGTGTATGGTTCATGCCTTGGTCAGGTTGCTCCAGCCACAAGAGCCGGACTTGTCCCTGCCCCAGGGCATTGGCTCTGCTTTCTATTCACGGGATGAGCTTCTTCCCATTCTTCAAGGCTCAGTTTAAATTTGCCTTCCTTGGGAGGATTTTTCTGGCATTTTCTCTAAAACAGCTGCTTCCTTCCCTCACCCCCATTGCCATGTTGTTGTTTTTCTTGATAGCCCCATAACTATCTGGGAGGATCTTGTATAGTTTTCTTTGATGTGTCCACTGTGTGGCACTTCCTCTGGAATTTAAGCCACGTGGCATCTTCCCTGCTCTGCCTCTGGTACTGAACACACAGTGAGTACTCAAGAAGTCACAGGACTTTGTGACATCAGAACTCCCCAGATTTGTCATAGAGTTTAGATGATTTTCCTTTGTGGAAAGGAGAATAAAATCATTTACACTCATTCACAGATCAGAACTGCTCAAGCAGGAAGCTAGGGTTGCAGAATAGTCTGTACTGCAGAGATGCACTTGTTGCTTAATTATTTATTTCAGGAATTATTTTAAAAATTATGGAGCAGTCTTTTAGGAAAATGACACTTAGAAATATGTATAGTTGATTCCTCTTACTTGTAGTAGTTACATTGTATAAAATCACCATGAACACCGAATTAGCAAACACAGAATCGTTGCTCCTAGGGGAAATAGAAGGTGCGGTTCCTGTGAGCCTCGGGTCACAACATTTTCATCAACCCATCAATACTAACCTTGTTTGTGTGAATTCCTGCTTGAAGATGCTTAAATTAATATATATTGTTGATTCATTAACATTGAACTCATGACCAATAGCACTGTGACTCCTCCCTGAACAAAGCTTATCTCACTCACATATTTTCCGTGTCAGGTGCATCACAGCCTTGTGCTTGGGAACACTAGTGGGGTCTTCCACACCAGGCTTGGGGACCATCTTAAACACTAAAGCTACCAATAAAAAGCACAAAAATGCAAAAAAAAAAAAAAAAGCCACTAAAGAGACCATAAAAAGCACACCTGTTTTCAATATGACAGTTGAAACAAGAAGGCAGAATGTCTCCTTTTTTGGCTTCTGTTGGTAACATGCACGTTGGGTGACTCAAGATTTTTGTTGTTCGGCATTTGTCCATACATGATTGCCAAAGTAAGTGCTACTAGTATTGATTTTGGGGTTACAAATAAATTTTAGTGAGTAGATGAGTTCGCCAATACGGAATCCACAAATAGTGAGTATCAATTGTCACTGTAAAGTGTTAGAAGCCATACTGGCCTTGGAGATAGAACACCTACATTCTGGTTCCATTTTTGTCACTAAACTATTGTACGACTTTGGTAAGTCACTTTTTCTCTCTGGTCTGGAGAAGAAAGGCATGGAATTAGGTGATTGCTAACATAATGTATTGCTTTCATGGTGGACGATTCTGTAATTTTTTTCTCATGGGGCAGAAAGAATGGTTTATAGCATCGTAAACTTCAGACATGCATTGATCACACTCTGATACTTTATTTTTGTGAAGGTTGAGGTCCTGGATGAGAACAGCTTGGTCATGAATTTAGAGTTCAGCATCCGGGAGACTACATGCAGGAGGGATTCTGGAGAAGATCCTGCTACATGTGCCTTCCAGAGGGACTACTATGTGGTAAGTGGGAGAAGACCCCTCCCAGAAATGAACAAAAGGAAGAGCCTCACTTCTTCTATGACCTGGAGTCACACAAAGAACTTGGCCGCTGCCTGGCTAGCATCTGGCCCCACCGCTAACAGTGTGGACACGGTGTCCCCTGGTGGGAGATGTGTTACTCTGTGGCTGAGCATTGAGCTGTGGAGTCTGAGATCCTGAGTGATCCTGACAAATTACTTAATCCCTGGTGCCTCAGTTTCCTGCTTTTTAACATGAGGATGTATTTGTATCAGGTAAAGTGAATACAATACCAGAGACAAATCCCAGACACACTTAAAATTCTCTTACAAAGGATTATGAAACACTGACTGTTCCTGGCACATGTCACGTTCTTTTGCCGTTGACTGTTGAATGACACCTGTCTTCCCTACTATTTCAGGCTTAGTGAGATCAGGAGCACGGCATTTCGTGTCTCTCATGACCAGAACATGTACAGCACTGCTCCATGGTGAGCAGGTCCATGCAAACCTAACCCCAAAGGCCAAGGGAGCTGAGAGGCTGAAGAAAGAGGCTCCCAAATCCAGTTTACCAGAAAAAAACAAAACAAAACACTTCATAGGGAATTACAAACAGAACCCGTATCTTAGGTGGAGGTGAGACAGTGGATCCTGTGCCATTACCTCCCAGATCCAGGGCTTACATACTGTAGGGAATTTGACCTAAGGCCAGGATTTACAGTATGTACATGAAAGTGGAAATCTTAGAGGGATTCCCAGAAAAGGGTTAATCAGAAGTCAACATGGCAGATTGGCATCCAAGGTGGAATAGCTTTGGTCTCCACAGACACTTAGTCAACATCCACGGGCAGTAATCCCATCTGAACAGGGCAACTCCAGCAGTCCGAAATTTGCTTTCCAAAGTGTTTGCATTCCGAGGTTAGAGCTCGTGGGTTTTGTTACTTAAAAGAGGATTGTTTGATTTGTTATTGGTTGTGAAACTACTCGCTGTGACTCTGTTTTACAAAGGACTCATACCAAAGTGCCAGAAGCTTCTATTTCTAATGAAATCTGAGGTCTAAGAAGAAAAGGGTGAAGTCCTGTGGGGTTCTTCATCATTTCTTTTTGTCTGAATGAAAATTGACTCAGGGCAGCCCACTCAGCACTCATGGGGGACATGTTTGCTTTTTCTAGAGACTTGTAATGGGTCAAACAGCAAAGAGATATTTAAATATTTCATTTGTTTCTGCTTCGGTCTTGAGGAATTTTCATTTTGAAAAAATAAAATGCCTCTGTGAAGATTTTCTTTCTCTGTCATTTTGCCAAACTTGACATTATTTCCTGATTTACTCGATGGAGGCTACCCCTTTCTACAAGCAGCTGAAGAGAGAACTCACCACTTTGTCTTTTCCAGCCCACAGCTGTTTGCAGAAGCACCGTGAAGGTATCTGCCCAGCAGGTGCAGGGCGTGCATGCTCGCTGCAGCTGGTCCTCCTCCACGTCCGAGTCTTACAGCAGCGAAGAGGTATGACCGGGGCCTTGTCTTCTCTCAGACCACACCTCTTAGGGTCTGTGTGGGTTTGTGAAAAACAGAGTGGTTTGCTGGGTAGTTGGATCGTCGCCTGGGCTTGGGGACGCAGAACTCTGCTGACACAGTGGCATTCTCTCTCGGACACCTACAGCCTCACTGTCCACATCCCCTACTTCTCCCAGCCTATTCTTTCTCTCATGTACTCTCTCTCTCTCTCTCTCTCTCTCACACACACACACACACACACACACACACTTGATTTCCCTGGGATTGGGAAATGGCCTTAAAGTAACAATCAGCAAACCTTTGAAGTTTCAGATCTAAGTATGTGGCTTGCTGGCACTGTGGTTTAGTGCAATCAAGAAGGACATTTTTGTTGAATCAGTGTTCAAAACTATTTTCCAGCTCTGCAGTCCAGGTCAGGACACTTGACTTTCATTTAACCCTCATGATCCATGACTTCTTCATCTGTTAAATGCTAGCAGTCATAAAGACCACCTTATAGGCTGTTGAGAGAATCCGGTAAGTTGATGGACATGAAGGATCTGGCCTGGCACTGGGATACTCAATGGATGGCAGGACCCTTATTTTTTCTCAATTGTATTGAAAGTGATTTGCAATAATACTGTAATATTAATAACATATACATTTTTTCCTTGAAATTATATTATATATGTGTCCAATTATTGGCAGCTTTCCTTACTAGACTGTGTGTCTCCTGAGGGCAGGGAATGTTTGTTTTTGTCAGCCCAGGACAATGTTTGATGCAGCACAATGTCTGACACAGCTCACAAAATACTTGTTGTATAAATGCAAGAAAACTGGGGAAGAAATGGACAAGAATATGATAAGAAGAGGCCATCTCTTCACTTTAGGGATAAAAGCATGACATATTTGTTCATGTGTAATAGGATAATATTATTGACAGATATTTCTAAAATATTTCCAACATTATATGGATGATTCTGTCAAACATATTCTTTCTGTTTAATATTTTTGTTCAGTTTTTCAAGATTTAACTCTAGTGAAAATTACATTAAAATATTATAAAATTTCTACTTCAAGAATTACACATAAAAGTTAATTTTCCCATATAATTAACATACTCACGCCTTAACTATTTTGTCTGGAAGTACGTTTCAGAATTAGAAAGTAATGAAACTAATGACTGAGACACTCCTATCACAGAGGATGGCCTTATTGGTACAAAGAGAACTTCACACAGTTTATTAGGACTTTCTCCATGAAAAGTTCAGTTGAGTATGGCCTTATTGATTGATCCCATTCACGCTGACAACTTCTGAAGGTCATCTCCCAGCTGATCTCTGAACTTGTTCTGGAGCCATAGTTGAAGAATCTTCGTTTCTTAGTGCTGGGGCGAGTACCATGGGCCTCCTTCCTTAGATCCTATTGAAATATTTAGGAAGTCAAATACATTCTGTTGTAACACACTCATACACTGTGGCCCAGCTAACACAGAAATGACAAGGACCATGCTTATCACTTCACAAGTCTTTTGTTAGTCTTGATTTGTGGTTCATATGAGAAAAAAGATGGTGGGGAGGAAGACAAGCACAGTGCTAACCTTTGTGGAGTTTATAGACATGTCTGGGGGAAAGGTGTCCACTAAGCAGGAATTACCCTGTCAGGCAGGCACTGGGGGCTACATAGTGAGAGGAATTCAGGTCACGTGGGGAGCAGACAGCTTATCCCAGGAACTGACCTTCCAGCCAAGATCCAGAAGGCGGGTATACGTTAGAACAAACAGGGCAGAGTGTGGAGGGGGAAGGGTATTTCAAGCATAGGGGAAATCATGTGGAGTACCCTGAATTGCCAGGAAAGCTGGTAGGTTGAAATGGATAGAACTCTATTACAACAGGAATGAGAAAAACATGGGGAGAGAGGCACAAGGTGGAGCTGGAGGAACACTAGCAGTCAAGATGGACTTTGAGGGTCCTTTTGAGGATGTCTGGCTCTATCCTGAAGACATGGGGTTATGAAAGGGTTTTAAATGTGTGTGTGTTGGGAGTGGAGGAGGGTAACCGAATCAGATGATGAACAGATTGGAACTAGGTAAGAATAAATATGGAGTAAATATGAAGTAAATAAGAGGTGAGAGAGAATGCTGACTGGGTCTAGGGCTTAGTAGTGAGTGTTGAGAGAAATGGATTCTGGTTCATTTTATGACCTTTAACACAAAATGAATTTAGTAAATGGCCAGCTAAGTTAACGCCTCTTCCACCCCTCAATGGGAAAATGGGTTCTGGTTGTTTGCAAAGCCCACAAATCTGTTGCAACTTTCTAATTGCATAGTGAAGACCACTCTCTTTTCTTCCGATTTCAAGTTTTCTAAGAAGACTCAGATATTAAGTTAGCCCTTGTAAAAAAACTAGATCTTAAAATAAACTCCCAGGTTGCTTGTTCTTAAAGCTTAGGTGATCATAAACATTTTTGAGCAAATTTATTTTTAAAAATTCTCAAATTAAAAAAATTCTACAATTCAAAAGGAAAGGAGAAAGCAGATAGAGACTTGAGTAGTTCCTGGAAACTCTGAAATGAATTTCTTGCATGAAACAGAGAAGAAATGAGAGAACAACTGGTAATCATTTTCAGTGAAAAAAATGGTGATATTATAAATATGAAAGACATTAGATTAGGATAAATTTAGTCATAGAACAAACAAATTATCGTCGGAAGGAAGAAATAGAAGAAACAAAACAGAAAAAAACTCCCAGAGTAATAAAAATAAAGATCACTTGAAAAACACATAGAGAATGTAGAGGAATTTCCAGAGTAAGGAATGTAAGATAAAGAAAAATGGAAGCCATGGCAAATAAACCTCAAAATCCAAATTATGACTAATAAGGACTTAGAGTAAGTCTGGTAAGGACATAATGAGAGACCTGAATATAAAATCTTTGGACTTTCCATGACATAATTTTTTAAAGTATAGTAACAATAAAAAATTGAGAAAATAATTTTCTAAATTTGCAAGTATTCTCTTATCCTTGACTAAATAGATATGTGAATTACTGTAGTTTTTATTGTTTCTTTTTCAATCTTGAAAGAGAAATGTGTAGAGGAGAAAAGCTTTCCATATGGTGCATAAGCACTCACTCAGTCTTATACTGGTGCAGGCGCCATCAGGGGTACAATGCTGAAAGGGTACAACGTAGTACAGTTGTAGGTTGGCGCTCTCTTTTTTTTTTTTTCTTCAGTTTCTAATAAGTGAGCTTGACTTTAGACAAATCCTTCTGATTTGGAGTGGATACGATGAAGTCAGCTAGGGTTTCCGACACGAGACCCAAAATAGTCCAAGAGAGAGAAACTGAGGAAGAATAATGACAGGAATTCTGAGCTCAGGGGAGGGGTGACAGGCATTTAATTTACTTACTGCCTTTCATTTCAAGAGATAGATATTTAACTAGAGTCTAAGCCAAAAAGAGGTAATTCCCTGGATCACATTCCCAGAAAGGAAGGAGAGAAGTTGGCTTCAGGGACAACTCGACTTAGGGTCCTTCAGTCCTGTATGTGCCACATTCTTCTCCTTCCCCTTCTCTCCCTGCCTCCTCTTCCCTATGCCCCTCCCTGTTCCTCCTTCCCCTCATTCTCCTTTCTCGCTCTCTCTCTCTCTTCCTCCCTTTCCTCCTCCCTCTCCCTCTCCTTCTCCTTCCTTCTCTGCCTCCTCCATCTTCTCCTCCTTCCTCTCTCTCTGTCTCTCTCTCTCTCTGTCATTGTGCCTCCCGCACTCCACGCCCACTCTTACTGCAGAGAGGCTTCCTCCTTGCAGCAGGAAGTAAAGCCTCAAGCTACTCCAGACTATGTCCTCTGTACTTAGGAGGGAAAGGAGCCATTTCTCTCTGCTGCCAGTTAGAGAAACCTCTCAGCATTTCCCCTGCTGGCCTGGCTTAGGTGTCCCCTTTTTTTGTTCTTTTATACATATAACTTTATTATTAATTTATTTTAAATTGTATATATTTACTGTGTACAATGTGATGTTTTGATACTCCCCTTCTAAAATACATTTTGGTGGAGATGTAATTTACATACCATAGAATTCACCCTTTTTATGTGTACAGTTCAGTGCTTTTTAGTATATTCACAACTGCCACCACCATTTAAATCCAGAGCACTTTCATCACGTGGAAGAGAGACCCTAATAACAGTCGTTCTCTATTCCTCATTCCTCCCAACACCTGGCAACCACTAATCTACTTTGTGTGTCTATGGATTCGTCCATTCTGATCATTTCATACAAATGGAATCGTACAGCCTGTGTTCTTCTGTGACTGACTTGTTTCACTTAGCATAACGTTCTGGAGGTTTATCCATGTTGTAGCATGCATCAGTGCTTCATTCCTTTTTATTGTTCCATTTTACAGAGCCACATTTGATTGATCCATTCATTCGTTGATCAACATTTGGTTTATTTCTCCCTTTTTGGCTATCACAGATAATGATGCTAGAAGCATTCATGAGCAAGTTTTTGTGTACACATATATTTAATTCTCTTGGGAACAGAATTCCTGGATCTATAGTAACTCGATGTTTAATGACCGTATAGTGACTTTATGTTTAACTTTTTGAGAAACTGCCACATTATTTCCATAGCAGCTGTACCATTTTACATTCCCGCCAGTACTGTATGAGGATTTCAGTTTCTATACATTTTTGTCAATACTTGTCTTTTTAATTTTAACCATTCTAGTGAGTGTGACATGGTACCTCATTGTAGTTTTTTGTTGTTGTTGTTGACAGAGTCTCACTCTGTCACTCAGTCTGGAGTGCAGTGGCATAATCTCGGCTCACTATATAACCTTTGTCTCCCGGGTTCCAGCAATTGTAGTGCCTCAGCCTCCCAAGAAGCTGGGACTACATGTGTGTGCCACCATGCATGGCTAATTTTTGTATTTTTAGTAGAGACAGGGTTTCGCCATGTTGGCCTGGCTGGTCTCCATCTCCTGGCCTCAGCTGATCTGCCTGCCTTGCCTCCCAAAGTGCTGGGATTACAGGCATGAGCCACTGTGCCCAGCTCTCATTGTGGTTTTAATTTACATTTTTCTAATGACTAATGATTGGCCATTATACATCTTCTTTGAAGAAATGTCTGTTCAAATCCTTGCCTATGATTTAATTGCACTATTTGTCTTTTTATTGAGTTGTTTTGAAACATTTTCTCTCCCTCTGTGGGTTATCTTTTACTTTCTTGATGGTGCCCTTTGAAGAGCCAAATTAAATTTTGATGAAGTCCAGTTTAGTAATTTTTTGTTTTGTTGTTTCTGTAGTCTTACATTAGATCTATGCTCCATGTTGATTTGACTTCTGCATATGATGTGAAGAAGGAGTTCGACTTCATTCTTTTGCATGTGCATATCTGGTAGTATCAGCACTATCTATTGAAAGGAATGCTCTTTCTCTCTTAAATTGTCTTGGTATGTGTCCCTTCCTGGTCCAATGACTGTGATGGAGGCCAAGAGTCTACCTGTGACTGTTCAGGACGGGGAGGACAGCCTACCAAGACCCTTGGTAGAAAGACTGTGAGCCAAGCAACCACTTTACTCTGCGATGATTGCATGGACTTTTAGTGGTTTCATGCAAACTTCTTGTGGACACCTTTTCCTACTGAACATATTACAATGACTTTGTAGAGAGAAAACTCTAAAATTTGATCTAAACTTAGTCTATGTGCAAGTCTGTGTAACAGGGTTTTGCTTTTCTGGAGGTCGACCACGTTTGGGAGTACATTCTCAGTCTAGGGGAAAGATCTGCGGGCAATTTAAACTTCATGTAGGTTGCTCTTCCCCATGTGGTTTCTTAGACTTACATGTTTGATACCATATAAAGTTATTTAATATAATATATTGCCTATTTCTTTAAAAATGGACTATATAACATATATCAGAGTCTTCCAGATGACATTTACATTTTTCAGTGTCCTTTCTTTTTCTTTCTTTCATGTGTTGAAATATCCTGATGCCTGAATTTCTTTAGATGATTTTTGGGGACATGTTGGGATCTCGTAAATGGAGAAACAATTCTCTATTTGGTAAGTTAAGATTTGTTCTTTCTAATTTTTTTTCTTAAAATAACTTCATATTGCAGTTCTTTCCTAGTGAGTCATTTAAAACTAGAAATACGTATGTATATAATCTTGCAACAATTACAGTCATAGAAAATTAACATTTTGGCCAGGCCGCGGTGGCTCAAGCCCTGTAATCCCAGCACTTTGGGCAGGTCGAAGACGGGTGGGATCACGACAGTGCAGGAGACTCGAGACCATCCTGGCTCATAACACTGTGAAACGCCGTCTCTACTTAAAAATACAAAAAACGCTAGGCGGCGAGGTGGCAGTGGCCGCTGTGCCCAGCTACTTCAGTAGGCTGACGGCAGGGAGAATGAGCGTGAACCCGGGAGGCCGGAGCTATGGCAGTGGCCTGAGATCCGCCACTGCACTCCAGCTGGCTGCGGGACAGAGCGCAGACTCCGTCTCAAAAAAAAAAAAAAAACAAAAAAAGAAAATTAATCATTTTCGTTTTGCTTTTGCCTTACTTTTTTAATCAGCCTAGGGTAGTCAATGATACAACTATATTTAGATACTTTCTTTGTATTCCACAGAGCTTTTCCATACCATCGTTTCCATTTGATGCCCCACATCTCTAGCCAATCAAACCAGAGCCAGTTTGGTTTTCCCTTAATGACATGGTAGCTGGGAGGATTCCGCGATAAACAGGGTTGAATCTATCATCATTCAGCCATACATACTAGGAGTCTGC